GTCCAGATTTCATTATGAGAGATTCTCGGCATTAAAGATTGTGGGTATGACATACTGAAGATGAAAGAATAAAGAAAGCTCAAAAAACAGACATCTTTCTTTTTTTCAGATTCTCATTAAAGTCCACCTAATTTCAATACCCTCCTTTCCAGTTAGCAGCACAAGAACTGAAGAGCTCAATACAATTAGGGAAAGAGGAATGACTCCTCAGGGATGAACCTCAGATGCTTWCAGAAGGCTGAAGAAACTTCTCGAGTAGTTAAAGTCAGAACAAATCCTTAAGTGTTAATGAGGCCCAATTAGGGCCATTACAAAGAGGGCCTCTCCAGGGGCTGATTAGAGATGAAGGCTGAAGGCCCTGATTGCAGGTAGGCAGAGGTAATGGTGAAGGTAGAACTGATGCCAAGTCTACCCGGCCAAGCACAGGTGCTCAGCCTCTGAGCACAGTGATCCGTTCCATTTTGTTTTGCTCATGGGTATTTGTGGGGGCAGTTTGTAGCATAGGACAGATCTGGGAAAGGGTGAGCAATACCTAGTGCAGTACAATGGTATGGCACTTCCTGGGCTCCATGGAGGTGAGACGGCAGAAAGGCCACAGTGCTGTAGGAAACGCACTGTTCTTGTAGACCTCCGTGGCAGAGAAACTAACTAACAAAGGGGGCAATGACCTCACTTCTGTTGGAGGTGTTCCACATTGGCATTGACCACTGCTGTCTTTGCCACAGGCTGTTCTAAGCTATCAAAAAGCTGTGCCTATTTTTCTGTAGTAGACATCCAACCTGCTTCCTTTTTTTGCTCTCGTTGCAAGATCTTTCCACCCTTACTGACATCCCTCTGTCCTTGATGGCTGCTCCTTGAAACACAAAGCCAGGGCCTGATCATGGAGTTCCTTTGGTGTTCTGTTGTACTACAGCACCATGAATGATGGTCATGTTAACAGAAGTGCAGTCTGGTTATCTCAAGATGCAGTATGCGCCTCTCTCCCCGTATCATGCTGCTCTCTACTACCAAAACAGGCTCCATCATCTCTAGAACCACTGACAGGTGACTACAGGTGACTATTGTATTATTCTTAACTTTCATTTCATTAGTCCAAATTTCTCAGCCTCTTCATACAGGCCATGTGCTTCCAGCTCCCAACCCTATCTTGGCAGACAACCTGTGGACCCTCTCTAGTTCTTCCATATGATTCAAGTCAGAGTGGTCACGCTCTTCCTAACACAGTCCTGTATGCAGGTGGTCTGATCTGTGGTGAGCATATGGCATCCCTTGTACCATCTAGGGCCTTTTCTTTGGGTCAGTCCCTTGTCCCCGTCAAGAGATTCTGCCTAGTTAAGTGATGGGAAGAGAACACTTCAGACTGTGACATTTCAACTTAACATAGATCAGTCTCTGATGAAGTGCTTTGCAATGTTGGAATTGCTGCTCTCCACTCTTTAGAAAAGGACAATAGGTCATTATTTTGGTATCTTTCAAAAGACATTCTCCAGGAGGAGATTTGGGAAAATTGTTTGAGAAAGGGGAAATTAGAGAAAAACTAGAGCCTAATGGAAGCTATGGCATTACAGAGGCATGCTTGGGGTGAGACACAGTTGTCACTTCCAGGATGCTTGGTATGTATGGACTTTGCTCCTCCATGGCTCCCAAGGCAGCACAACCTGCCCTCCTAGCACATGCTGGTAAGAGTAAATGGAGAGTGAAGCAGAATGGAGGCACCATGGCCACACTTTGTTGGACTGCATGCAGAGGTGGCAACCTGATGGTGCCATGCAGCTGATAAACCGCATAGTACAATAAGATATCTAGTACTGGGCCAACAATGGTGGCAGATGAGTCACTTCAGATGGACTTCACTTGCACTTTTCTTCAGTATAACATCATGATAATGCCAATGCACACCTCCATCCTAAAAGTTACCTACCTCCAAGCTAGGGCCGCTCCTCACTGAGCATACTCTCTAGATTTTTGGTTGACTATACCTTCAAATGCAAGTGAGGGACTTTTACACCAATCAATAACAAAAGTCAATATGACTAGAATCACTCAATCTCCAGCTCAAAATAAAAATACATGAAAGATGAACTAAGGAGGGGAGATTGGGGCAAGACTTCGTTGTAACTTCTGGGATTGATTGACGGGCCAAACCTGTCTTTTTCCCCTCAGGTTGGGACACCATCTGAGGAGACTCTTGAAGGTTGAGAGCCCTCTCCTATACTGGGTGAGTGATTATTGTGCATTTGTATGTTAAAGATATCTAAGAACCCCTCACTGCACTAGAGATATTCCTATACTAGCATTCAAAATTTGCTTTGTAAAAGTTGCATTTGAGTAAATATTTGGAAATATAATAAAATGTTATAGTAGAATCATAGAATGCTTAAGGTTGGAAGGGACCTTTAGATATCATCTAGTCCAATCCCCCTGCACACGCAGGGTCACCTAGAGCACGTGACACAGGCTRCRTCCAAGTGAGCTTTGARGATCTCCAGAGAAAGACACTCCACAGCCTCTCTGGGCAGCCTGTTCCAGGGCTCTGGCACCCTCAGWGACAAGAATTTTTTCCTTAAGTTCCTGTGGAACTTCTGGTGTTTCAGTTTGTGGCTATTTCCACTTGTCCTATCGCTGTCCACCACTGAAAAGAGGCCACCCCCTCCTCCTCACTGCCTCCCTTGAGGTATKTATAGACACTGATCAGGTCCCCCCTCAGCCTYCTCTTCTCCAGGCTGAACAGRCCCAGCTCYCTCAGCCTTTGCTCACAGGGCAGATGTTCCAGGCCCCTGATCAYCCTCGTAACCCTGCGCTGGACTCTCTCCAGCAGCTCCACATCCCTCTTGTACTGGGGAGCCCAGAACTGGACACAGTACTCCAGATGTGGTCTCATCAGCCACTAGTAAACTATGTATAGGCAAAAATCATTTTCAAATAATCTATATAGACAAATTATAAAAAATTACCAAATTATCAAAATGCAAAAATACCACTGAGATGTATGTTACTGAGATAGATGTAACCTCAGTACAGAATCAAGGTCATCTTTGTAGKAAGACTTACTATTGCCTGCAAAAGTTTACTGCCACAATGGGCTGGCACCTATACCACTGAATACTTATGCCCACCAAACAAAGAAGTTAACACTGGGATTGTTGCACGATCACAATCCAGTGTACAGAAAAAGGCATTCTGCTGGAGCCCTTGTGAAAGAACAAAAAAATCCACTAGTTCATACACTTTTTTCACTTCTAAACATTACCAAATTTGAAAAACCTATTGCCAATATCTCTACCACCTTGGAAGTCATTTTAACCACCATGCATATGCCTTAAAATCTATAAACAGAGGTGAGCTCTCCTCTTGTTTAGCCATCCAGAACTAATGAGCCCTAGATTACCTGTTGGCCTTACAGGGAGTTTTTGTAGAGGGAGAAAATATGAGGTCATGTCGTCCTGTAGGTAGAACATCCTATCTGACTTGCCTGAGGTCCCTTTCTCATAAAAAGCTCTTTACTTTTGGTGACTGCTTCATTTTGGAGGTCTCCACTCACTGCCCATTGGAAGCATGTGCTGATCCCTGCACCCACTGGGAGATTGCTTGTGCTGTTTGTGTAGCTGCACATTCCCTTCCAGAAAGACAGGCATCTGTCACCAGCCTTGCGATATGTGCGAAAGTCCCTGCTGGGTACCTTGTGACCACTTACCCTTGCCAAAAGCAATGAGCCCGCACAAGGGAGAGTTGAATCCAGCCCTGGATCCAGGGGTCGGAGCATTCCTTTTGGTGCTGCGTGAAGGGTGGGGAGCATACTTCTTCAGCCAAATCCTAAGCCATATGGAGGGCATCAAGCAAGACCTTCTGGTTCTGCACTGTGAGCTCATTTTACTGTACCCACACTCTGGAGGTTTTATTTGAATTATATGTTAGCATTTTTCTTTCCAAGATAATTCCAAGCACAGTTTCATTTCCTTCTTATCCCTCTTAACCCATCCTCTGATCTCACTGGCTGCTCCCACACCCTCTCCCCTGCTCTCCCACAAGGCCGCAAGTAATGGTGATGCTCTACAAAGCAAGCAGGCTGTGGGGCCACAAGGTCGTGAGGTGACTCCRCAATGCCTTTGCTGCGACGAGTGAGAAACAGACTCAAACAAATCAGGATTATGGCCTCTTATTGCTCCAAGGGATTTTGTATGTCAAACGTGCTCGCGGAGATTATGAAGCATTTCCAAAAGGTCTATTTTTGTCTGGGTGTGCCTCTCGATCCTGCTCCTGGTATTTCACAGAAGATGACATGAATTGCTGTCCAGTTTTCCTTACTCCACCAGTTGGTGTCTCTCCTGAGATTTCAGAGTCCTCCATTGCCCCCAAATATGTGGGTTTAGCACTTTACCATAAGGTGACTCCACCTTAGGTGCTCTCTCACTTTTTGAGGCTCCATTCACTGCCCACCTCAGGCACACGTGGTACCAGCAGAACCTTCGTGCTCTCCCAGCACCTCCAGCTTTGCCTCCAGGAGGATGGGCATCTAACACTGTGCCTTAACACATTAGGTGACCAAGGGTATGCAAACTGGTGACAATTCATCATCTGCACTGTAACAGGACACTAATGGGTGGTTCCTAAATCTGTCCTTTGTTATCTAAGAGATCAAAGCAAGATTATGAGCTTTTTGCTGCTGAAACCATGGTCCAATAGGACCTTTTGAGAGGCAAGTCCTTAGGCCTATTCTTGAAAGCAGTTTTGGAAGAAACTCCAGCCTTCAGACGCTGTACTGGGTAGAACTTACTTTATTACAAAGATACTGTGAGGAAGTGAGCTCTGACCCGGCATTAGCCACAGTTTTATGTGGGTATCACAGTGAAAGAGGGCAGTCTTAGTAAAAGTGGAATGAATACAAACATTTATGTAACAATGTAACAATAAATAACAGTAATGTCAATAAATAATAGCAATGACAATAATAAATACAATGAGGACAACAAAGCTGAGGGGTGATTGGCCTATATTGAGAATCAACTATGGAGAGAAAAGTCAATTTTMCCATTACTAAAAGATGTCCACGAGATCACTTTCCTCAGGCCATCTTTGAGCTCCTTGTTCCTCATGCTGTAGATAAGGGGGTTCACTGCTGGAGGCACCACTGAGTACAGAACAGCAACCATCAGATCCAGAGCTGGGGAGGAGATGGAGGGAGGCTTCAGGTAAGCAAACATGGCAGTGCTGATAAACAGGGAGACGACAGCCAGGTGAGGSAGACACATGGAGAAGGCTTTGTGCCGTCCCTGCTCAGAGGGGATCCTCAGCACAGTAGTGAAGATCTGCACATAGGTCAGTACAATGAAAACAAAGCACCCAAAGAACAAAGAAACGCTAAGAACAAGAGCCCCAGCTTCCCTGAGGTAGGACTCTGAGCAGGAGAGTCTGAGAATCTGAGGGATTTCACAGAAAAACTGGTCCAGGACATTTCCATGACAGAGTGGTATTGAAAACGTGTTCCCAGTGTGCAGCACAGCATTAAGAATTCCACTGCCCCAGGCAGCTGCTGCCATTTTGACACAAGCTCTGCCACCCATGATAGTGCCATAATGCAGGGGTCTGCAAATGGCAATAAAGCGATCATAGGCCATGATCGTGAGAAGAGAAAACTCTCCTCCAAACAAGAACACAACCAGGAAGACCTGTGCAGCACATCCTGAGTAGGAAATGGCTCTGGTGTCCCAAAGGGAATTGACCATGGATTTGGGGACAGTGGTGGAGATGGAGCCAAGGTCGAGGAGGGAGAGATTAAGGAGGAAGAAGTACATAGGAGTGTGGAGATGGCTGTCACAGGCTATGACTGTGATGATGAGGCTGTTGCCTAGGAGTGCAGCCAGGTAGATGCTCAGGAAGAGCAAGAAGTGCAAGAGCTGCAACTCCCGGGTGTCTGCAAATGCCAGGAGGAGGAACTCATTGAAGGAGCTGCTGTTTGACATTTTGTTCCCTTCAGACACAAGGGGCTGTCCAAAGAAGAGAAGACACTAAGAAGTTAGGAAAGACTTTTCAAAAAAAAAAAAAAAAAAAATCCCTCAAATGTTCCAGTCTTATACAATCCCCCCACCTCTTTATTGAAGGAATCTCCCTTACACAGCTCCCTTGCTTCACGTTGCTTCACTTCGCTCTGGCAGAGTGTGTCATGAAGAGCTGCCACTTCTGCCCATGAGCTTCAAAGGAATCAATCTAGCTGGAAATACCAGGAAGTGGGAATGACCAGTTCTGACATTCATATTTCCTGTCAGGTGAAACCTCCTTGGCATGTGGGAGGGCATCTTCACCATCACTTCTAAAGGATGGTGGTTGAGGAACAGAGTTCGGAGAATTTTTTGATATTTTCTTTGAGATGCCCTTCTCCCCCTTGCAGAATATTCCTCAAAGGCAGAAATTCTCAGCATTTCTACTGAGAATCCTGAAAAAAAATGATTCACTATCACCTTGTGTAGAGACAGCTATTCTCTATATTAGTCTTCTTCCCATCTGTCTTGTGCTCATATGACTTTGAACTGGGGGATGATCAGTCACATCTATGGCCCTAAAAAGAAATGAGTTCCTACCGAGGCAAATGAGTCCAGTTTCAAAACCATGTATCTCCAACCTTTTCTCCCTTTCTCAGGGCACCTGAGTATAGGCATGAAGGTCTCCATGCTCTCCTTCYAGCCAAGGGCACACAGGACTCTCTTCAGCTGTCTATATGCAGTTTACCGATACTATTTACTTCCTCTCAGCATCTCTGCAGATTCCTCATGAGTCTCTCAGACATCACAAAAGTGCCATGAGGTTGCAATGCCCTTCTGGGGGACAGCTCAAAGTCTAGCAGGGCATGASAGGGAAATAGTCAAAGGCTGTAAGGACTGAAGGTAACCTCTACTTAAGGGAGGACCAGATCATTTTCCAGCCCCAAGGACTGCATTTCCTGTGGCAGCACAGGTTAGAAGGGGACTGGGCAAWCCCTATTCCCAAGTAGTTCCTTCTTGACCCTCTTCAGATCCCAGAGAACAGGAAAAAAGAACAGTAGCAGCATGGAGGCAAGGGAAAACAAGGAGCAACACTACTATCCTGCTGCTAAGGAAGGCAAGGAGAGAGATGTAGTTGGGCATTTCACACAGGTGGTGAAGTGTCTGCCACACAGACAGTGACATCACAGGGCAATTGCTCTCAGTCTAATTTTTGGGCAGCTATAAAATGTTCCATGGCAGGAGAGATGTTCCTCACCTCTACCAGACATCTGGCTGCAGAGGAGGGATCTCATGCCCTGGACTCGATGACTGTCAAGGAAGAGGCTCTGCTAGGTGGGAGGGAAGACATGGTGGGGGAGCCTCCTCAGGGGAAGGTGTCTGCATTGCAGCAACTGACGAAGATTTTCTGAAATCCATCCTCCCATGGTGACTCTGTTAGCAGCTCCCTCTCATTCCCTAAACATGTCCACTGCCTGGAGATGACCCTGATGGGATATGTTTCTCTATCCCAACATCATTTTCTTTGCCAGTTTTCACAGACCCCATTCCAACCTTTATGTGCTCAGTTCTGCCCTACAGAAACCTCCCAAGACAGGGCACTGGTAAGCATATCTCTGTTCTCATGGGTTCTAAAGAGCAGGTCAGACAAACTCTTATAAAGCAATAAAGCAGCTGCCCCTACTGTCTGTAGACTGAGGTGGGGCTGGTGTGATGAATTTTCTCACAGACTGGAGGACACTGAATTCATGACTGAATCTATCAGTCATAACATGGGATGGGTTTAGAAGATCCCTCCAAGAACATCAATAGCATTGTCCTGCACGAGAGGCTTACCATGCAAAGAGCTGTAGAGGTTTTTCCCAGAAAAAGCACTTAGCCCACCTCCTACTCCGGACTGACTTTCACCTCTGTCTGTCTTGTCTCATCTCATGTCATCAGCAGCAAGCAGTGCCTGCAGCTCTGCTGCACTTTGCAGAAGAGCTGCTCCTGGAGGGAGCACTGCTCTGAGCAGTGCTGCCCAGTTGCCACTCCATCCCAGCAGCCTGGCCCTGTTCAGGAGGAGAGGCCCAGCTGACGGCATGTATTTCTCTGTCCCTTGGGCTCCCTCCTCCTGGGAAATGTTCACTGAAGTAGACTAAAATAATGACCATTAGTCTCTTCCTAAACACTAAAGAGAAACTGATTCCAGCGTTGAAWTTTTTTTCTAATTAGAGGATGGTTATCTGGAAGAGATGGAAATGTACCACTCTTAACTAGACAGGAATCTAGATGGGGACAAGAACAGAGGTCATTTATACACAGGTCAGATTTTGATTCAAATGAGTCAATATGAGCATCGTATGTCTACTTAGAAGCCCCTAGGATGGATGGGATTCATTGTCTCAACTCCACACTCACACACACACAAATAAAAAAAAAAAAAAAATCAGGAGGTGGGATTCTCTTTCCCCAGCCCAAGTTTACAAAACATAGAGGTCTGTGTGTGAGATCCTTGTCTAGTCTTCCTTTATAACTACTGAAGATGGAGGATGGGAGTCAGTTGCTCATAAACACCTTGTGACATTTGAAGGGACAGGGATGGTCCAAGCCATGTGCCAGTGTCCACTTGCTCTGCTGCAGCAAGTGGGACACTCTTATGTTTCTAGGAAAATCAGGTAGGGTCCAAATGGGGAATTTCCTTAGCCAACTGAAAGGACCCCAGATGCCTAATAGTGCACCAGTCACTATGAAGCTGTGACACGGGCAAAATGCTAATGTAACACAACGCAGACACTGCATGTAATGTATAAAAATAATGTATAAAAATACTCGGGCAGAGACACCCCAGATGTCTGGGCCGTCCAACACAACTGGCACCCACAGGAATGCCATTGCCTTTTGGAGTGGTGCTGGACAAGTGTCCCAGGACATCTCAGGTTTCCTCCCTGTGTCCAAACAAATTAATCTTACCTCTGCCTTCAGAAACTGTTCATACTGTCCACATCCAAGTGTGTGGCATAAATAGGAAGTACACCAAAGAAGAGCACAGATCCTGGACTTCAGAGGAGCAGACTAGCCTGTTCAGAGGACTGATGAGGGTTGCTATGGGAGGCAGCTTTCAAGGTTCCAGGAGCTCAGGAAAGACAGCAGCTCTTTAAGGATAACACTTGTCAAGCACAAGAACGGTCTATCCGACTGCTCAGTAAAACCAGTAGACTTCTCAGGAGATCGACTGCATTGGGAACTTAGAACTGAAGGACTATGTGCCAGCAAGTAGGAAGGAGGGAGAGACTGCAAAGAAGGAACTCAAAATTACTGTCCAGCCAAGAAGGGAAAGTGTTAGGGAAGCCAAAGCTCCCCAAGGAGCCTAGACACTAGCAGGGAGTATCAAAGGAATGAAGAAGGGATGCTGCAGCTTTGCTGCAGTAAAAGAGCAAAATGTACATAGTTGACTAATGACTGAACTGGCCATGGAATCTAGTAGCAATAGATGCAGGTAGGACCTAGGAGCTTAGTGCCTTCCTGGCTTCAGTACTCACTGACAATATCTGGGCTGTTTTGCCTACAGTGGGCTCTCCAGAAGGGAAAAGAAATGTATGTGTATGTATATATTTCAGGACAGAGCACTTGCGTAAAACAGAGTTCCCATACAGTGGCATGAACTTTGCTTTCGTAGGTCTGTGCTGTGATTGCTTCATTTCTACTAGCTGATTTCTACTAGCTGATTCCCTTTGTACTAGCTGATAAAATGATTTTTGTCAAGGAAAAGAAGGTGATCAGGAGTAGTCAGCATGGATTCACCAAGGGAAAGTCATGTTTGACGAACCTGATATCCTTTTGTGATGGGATGACTGGCCAGATGGATAAGGGGAGAGCTGTGAATGATGTTTACTCTGACTTCAGCAAGGCCTTCAACACCGTCTCCCATAATATCCTCACAGGAAACCTCCGGAATTGTGGATTGGACAGGTGGACAGGGAGGTGGACTGAGAACTGGCTTGGTGGCCTCTGGCAGAGCTTAAAGGGTGGTGATAAATGGGGCTGAGTCTAGTTGGAGGCCAGTGGCCAGTGATGTCCCCCAGGGCTCAGTACTGGACCTAGTACTGTTCAATTTGTTCATCAGTGACTTGGACAAGGGCACAGAGTGCACCCTGCACAAGTTTGTGGACGATACCAAACTGGGTGGAATGGCCGACACTCCAGAGGGCGGTACTGCCATTCAGAGGGCCCTGGACAGGTTGGAGAGGTAGACAGAGAGGAACCTCATGAGGTTCAACATGAATAAGTGCAGGGTCCTGCACCTGGGAGGGAATAACCCCAGGCACCAGTACAGATTAGGGCTTGACCTGCTAGAGAGCAGCTCTGCCGAGAGGGACTTAGGAGTCTTGGTTGATAACAAGCTCACCATGAGGCAGCAGTGCCCTCGTGGCCAAGAAGGCCAATGGGATCCTGACTTGCATCAGAAGGAGTGTTGCCAGCAGGTCAAGGGAGGGGATCCTGCCCCTTTACTCAGCTCTGGTGAGGCCACACCTGGAGTATTGTGTGCATTTCTGGGCTCCAAAGTATAAGAGGTATGTGGAACTTCTAGAGAGAGTCCAGCAGAGACCAATAAAGGTGATTAAGGAACTGGAGCATCTATCATATGAGGAAAGACTAAGCTGGGCCTGTTTAGCCTGGAGAAGATAAGGTTGAGAGGGGATCTTATCAACATGCACAAATATCTGAGGGGAGAATGTTGGGAAGAAGGGGCCAAACTCTTCTCAGTGGTAGCCATTGATGGGACAAATGGCAATGGGTATAAGTTGAAACATAGGAAGTTCCATCTGCATGTGAAGAAGAACTTCTTCACTGTGAGGGTGACAGAGCCCTGGAACAGGCTGCCCAGGGAGATTGTGGAGTCTCCTTCTCTGGAGGTCTTCAAAACCTGCGTGGATGCCACTCTGTGCCACATGCTCCAGGTATCCCTGCCTGAGCAGAGAGGTGAGACTAGATAATCTTCAGAG